CATGTGACCTTCCTTCCCCCGCTTTGGGGCATGTAAGTAGTTTCTGATTTTTACTCACAAACATGGCATCGTGGTGAATACCTTCCTACGAAATCTTTGGGCCAGTTTCTATTTATTAGATCCTTAAGGGGGGGTTAGTGGGGCAAGGCCCCACTTTAGAACAGTTTCAAGGCCTTTAGAACCTATTTTGCAGTTGTTTTCTAGAATGATCGCCCAGTTTACCACAGTAGGACCCGTGAACCCCCCGTATCCTAAACCTCTCGCTAACCCCTGTGTCTTACTCATTTAAAAACAAAACAATACAAAAAACCTTTCTCAAGCCATATTTTCCCACGCCCATGCCCTGCTGTGCGGTCACTGGTGTGCAGGTTGATGATTCCCCTTATTGTCTTCCCACCAGGCCAGCGGGAAGACAGGGCCCTCAGAGAGCAGACGGCACATCCTCGTCTGGGGTCGGCTTCAGGGACTAGCCAGGAAGAAGCAGGACTGGAGGCAGGCACTGGGCCTCTGAGTCCGGAGCCTCTGCTGGTGGCCTGGGTGGAGCTTCCTCCCTGGCACGTCTCCTGGGCCAATGGCTTCCCCGCCAGCTCACACCCCTCCTTCTGCCCCGGGGCTCTGGGTTGGTAGGGGTCATGAGGCACAGTCTGGCCTTGGCCGTGAGCCACACAGCCCCCAGGCCCCTCACCACCTGTTTCAATCACACGGCTCTTGCCCACTTGCACTTGGTCATTCACCGTCAGCACCACCAAGTCACGGCACGTGGGTCACCGCCCCTGGTGTTTTCCAAACTTCTGTGACGATCACAAGGCCTGGGATGCGCCATAAACATTCGGATAAGCAGGCCTGTCCTCTGTGCGAATCCCGACCTTGTAAGCCTGGGTCTGGCCCTACAATCCGTTTGCATGGCATTGAGGCAAGTTCAGGAGCGAGTACTGAAGGACCCCTGAGCACTGACATCTGGTGTGGTGCTCACACACACGCACACACATGCACGCACACTCGCTTACACATGTACATGGCTCAGCCCCTCAGGCCCTGCTGGCATGCCCCGCTGGGCCCCTCAGCCTCCAATTCATCAAAGCTAATGACGGTCCTTTTTTTTTTTTCTGATTTGCAAGCGATTAGTTTTAATTTGGGGACAATTAGAGGTAGAAGCAGGAGGCATCTGATCTTGATTAGAAGCAGGGAGAGGGCCGGAGGTGCCCCACCTCTAGCCCGCCGGACCCTGGCCTGCACGCAGGTTAATTTATGTAGTCATTGACGGGGGGGTGGTGCTGGCCTCTGTGCCAGGGTGGAGGGCACAAAGGTTGTCCGGGGGCAGCCAGAGGCTGTGCTGTGCTCCCCGATTCCCAGGGCCAGCCTGAGATGTAAAGGGAGGGCCTCTGTCCCGCCACAGGCCCCCATGTGAGGGTAGGATTGGCGTTTGCTAAGTCCCTGCTGTGGGCCACACCTTGTACTGTGCAGAGCAAAGCTGGTCTTAGACCCAGTGTCTGCCCAGGCGCTGGCCCAGCTGGGAAGGGAAGGCCAAAGCATGAACAGTTACCTGCCTCCTGGTGCCGGAAGTGGCTGGAGAGGCCTCCGCACAGGTGGAGGGGCTCCCGGGCCTGCATCCGGCCCCTGGGGGACATTCACAGAGGTCAGTGATGAGACAGCTCGTTGATAATTTGAATCTCACTCTCATACCAGGATCGAACTCCCGGTTAGTCAGAGCCAGAGCTGGACGGAGCAAAGCAGCAGCCATGAACCACCCAGGTGGGGGCCGGAGAGGTATTAGGGAAGGCTTCAGGGAGGAGGTGATGTCTGGACAGGACATGGAATGATGAAGGGACCCCCAAACTCCAGCCTCCGTGCAAGTCTCCTCTTGGGCGCTGGTGTCCTTCTGTAGGGCCACTGAAACCTCTGTTCATGCCTTGGCCTCTTTCTGGAACAAGAAGGGAAGGGTGAGGCTGCTGCCTCTCGGTAGGACGTGGCCCCGAGGGGGGCACAGGAGCTGGTGGAGGAGGAGACCTCGGGGGACAGGAGTCCAGGCCTGTTGGCTCGACACCCCATCCTCCGCTACCGAGCTACAGAGAGCAAGACGCCCCCTCCCGGGGCTGTGGGTGGAGGATGTGCTCAGCTCAGCTCGGCAGGGTCTCGTGCCAGGCACCGCTGAGGGGGGCTGAGAGTAACGCCCCAGCTGCCATCGTCATCCCCGAGACGGAAGTTGACGGCCCCAGCCTGTCCTCCTCGGCCCATAGGGCGTCTCCACATCTTACTGGGGAAACTGAGTCCGGGCGGGGCCGAAACAGCCAATTGCCACGCATTCATCCACTTCGGCTGCCTTACAAATGGGCCCCACCTGGGCCCTGGACATCCCTCCACACCCAGCAGTGTCCCTCCTGCCTCCCTGGTTTTTCAGCCACTCTCAGTGTCTCTGTGAGGGACTGATGTCACCACCTCAGCTTTGGAGGTGAAAACTGAGGCTTGAGATGGAAGCAAGTGACTTGCTCCCTGAGTGTTGGCAGGGAGAGCCTCGAACTTGAGTTCCAGGGCTTCTGTCTATTTGCCTGCTTCCTGCTGCGTCCGGAGCAACTGGTTGGCTGCGGTTCCCTGGCTCAGGCTGCCATCCAGGACTGCCACACTCCTGCCTGGGCCCAGCCTCGTCCCGGGGGCAGGGGTCCCTTCGCAGAGAGGCTGGCAGTAACTGCAGCACCAGCCAGGAAGGCCTTCCTGTCTCTCAGAACCCCTTCCCATCCTCGTTCGGGACTCACCGAACAAGGTGCCCCCGCCCTCTGCCCACCATCAGCAGCAGCAGCCTGGCAGGGCTGCAGGGGCCTGGGGGGAGGGCGGCCTGGAAACAGAGTTCTGGGAACAGGAGGGATCTGGTGGTAAAGGCATGGGCAGCCCGGCGGACCAGAGGCCAGCGGTCTCCCCTGCTGGTCCTGAGGGCGGCCCGGGAGGCCCACCGAGACAAGGAGCCACTCCTCTTAGAACAATGCAGCTGAGGCTTAGGTTGTGTCCCAGGCCAATCACCTCCATTTTAAATGAGGAAATGAAATCACACATTTGCAAAATAAGAGGCAGACACCAGAGCCTCAAGAACAGGGAACTTCTAGTTCGCTGCATTTATGAGGAATTGGGGAGAACGTCGGTGGGCCTGACGAGGGTTAGCTGACGGCGGTAAAATGAAAACTGCATGAACTGCAAACATCCACGGTCACACCGATTAGGACGATCCTCCTGAGAACGGAGATGTCACTCAGTGGGGACCAACCGCGGCTTTTTGAAGGTTTGCGCCGGGAAAGGCCTTGTGGGTAACTGATGCCTGTGTGAGGCAGCATGAGAGGTTCCTCAGAGAGGGAGAAGCTCTGAGGAGACATCCAGAAATTGAGATGTCATCTCGGGGGGCTTCATGGAGGAGGTGACTTTGGAGGAAGATTCAGATGTGGGAGTGTGCAGGTAGGAAAGGAGAGGGTTGGACGGAGAGGGTTGGACAGAGAGGGCGTCGCACGAGCAAAGGAGGGGAGGGGAGGCGGCAGCAGCTCACGGTAACACTGGCAGCTCTCCAGGGCCGCAGGCAGCCAGGGCTTGGGAAGAGGATTGCTGGGGAGAGGGGAGCCTGGAACCACGCTCTAGGAGGCCCTGGATGCTTCCCGAGTTCGGGGTCTGGATTTTCGGTAAGTGGAAGGGGAGACCCTTTGATTACACTTGCATGCATTTTGCACTGTGGTGCCGTTCACAGGGCACTTTCTTATTGGAATCTCAAAAGCAAAACAAATGACCACACAACATCCCCTGGGTCAGTGTTACTATTGTCACCCTGGTTTCAGAGGGGAAGAATGTGACTCGGGTCCATTTGAGGACCCAGAACTGGTGGTTCTCAAACCTCCAGCCTCCGGACGGTGGTCTGTCCCGTGGCAGTGCCCAGCAGGTGCTGGACGGAGCGAGAGGGGACAACATGGTCAAGTTTCTGCCAGGGAGAACGAAACACTCTGGCCGCTCTGTGGAGGAGGGGAACCAAGGAAGGGGGTGAACTGGGGAAAGAGGAGACTCAGACGGGGTTACAAAGTCACAGCAACCGGGGCAAGGCCAGAACCAGGACAGGGGCCTGGGGATGGAGGACAGGGGCCCCTGGGGACATACCAGCCATCAAGAGATGGACTTCCTAAAACTTGGCGGGAGCCTGCACGGATGCGGAGAGAGGGCTGAGAGGAGGGAGAGGTCAAACCCGAGGCCCACCCTTGGGTTTGGGAGGCTGAGGATTCCGTTCCCTGTACAGAGAGTGTGTCACGGGAGGGGTAGGGAGCAGGAGAAGACATGGGCCCCGGGAAGCCTGCCCCTTCGGCGGCTGCTGGACTGGGAAAGGGCTTGGGTTGGAGGGTCAAGGGGTCCCAGGTTCATCCTACCGCAGCCCCTTCAGGGGTAAGTTACCTAAGTGTCCTGCACCTTTATCTGTAAGATATAAAAAATAGGTTCTCCAAAAAAATGTTATTGATTAAAAAAAAAAAGAAAACCTGGTTCCATCAATGGAGATTGCAATCACATTTGCTCAAAGGATCGATTGGAGGATCAGACAAGCTAATGCTTATTGAGCCTCCGTGAGTAGCTAATGGAAGGCTTTGCGCTTCCTCGGCCCCTCGCTCCGCTGGCAGCCTTCACGCGACTTTCGTGAGTCCTCGAAATGGCGCCTCGAGGCCACAGAAACTTTAGCCTCCTTTTACAGATGAGGATGCGGGGGGAGAAAACTTCTTTAAAGCTTCACAACGCGTTGTGCTGGACTTAACCTCCCCCTACATTGCAGACAGAGAGACGAAGCAGCAGGGAGGGATTAACACACCTGCACAGGTGGAGCCAGGCTCGTAGCCCAGGCGGCCTGGCCCTGAGTCGCCCCCGGACCTGGAGCCGGGCTGGGCACTGCCCAGGGTGGGGTACATGGCCCCGGTGAGGAGGGCAGGCTGGGGTGTCCTCGGGTCCCAGCACAGCCTCTCCTGACCACTGTGGGGTCTTCATTCTGTCCCCAGCCTCCGGCCGCTCCCACCCAGCCAGCCCCAGCCCCCCGGGGCCGCAGGCCAGCCCGGTGCTGCCGATCAGCTACCGCCTGTCGCACACGCGGCTGGCCTTCTTCTTGCGAGAGGCGAGGCCCCCACCGCTGCCGGCTGCCAACGGCTCGCTGCAGCGCTCCGAGCCCTTCGTGGTGTTCCAGACCAAGGAGCTGCCGGTCCTCAACGTCTCCCTGGGGCCCTTCAGCACCAGCCAGGTGGTGGCCCGGGAGCTCCTGCAGCCGTCCAGCACCCTGGACATCCCCGAGCGCCTGACGGTCAACTGGAAGGTCCGGGCCTTCATCGTCCGAGCCCGCGTGCCTGCCTCGCAGCCTCTGGCCCAGGTGCTGTTCTATGTGGCCGGCCGGGACTGGGATGACTTTGGCGTCACCGAGCGGCTGCCCTGTGTCCGCTTGCATGCCTTCCGAGACGCCCGGGAAGTCAAGAGCTCCTGCCGCCTCAGTGGGGGCCTGGCCACCTGTCTGGTGCAGGCCGAGCTGCCCCTGGCCTGGTTTGGGCCCCCTGCCCCGGCGGCACCACCCACCGCCCGGCGCAAGTCTCTGGACGGGCTGGAGCCCGAGTTGGCGGGGGAGAGCCAGCAGGCCGAGCTCTACTACACTCTCCACGCCCCGGATGCGTCCGGGGGCTGCGGGGGCTCCCGGCGTGGAACTGGGGCCGGAGTGGGGGCCCGGGCGGAGAGCCCTACCCAGCACCCGCTGCTGCGCATAGGGAGCATCAGCCTGTTCCGCCCGCCCCCCCAGAGGACCCTGCAGGAGCACAGGCTGGACAGCAACCTGATGATCCGCCTGCCGGACCGGCCCCTCAAGCCAGGGGAAGTGCTCAGCATCCTCCTCTACCTGGCCCCCAACTCCTCCTCCGCCTCCAGTCCCAGCGTGGAGCATTTCACACTCAGGTAGGGGGCTGGGGTCCGGGTCTGCCTTCCCCGCCAAGGTCAAATGCATATCTGACCCTTCGTGGGGCTCACCTAGCCTGCCCGACAGCGCCCTAACCCCAGCTCTCCCACGTGCCACTTGACTGGCCTCGGGAAGGCACCTCGCACACTTGAGCCTCAGTGTTGTCTTCTGATGGCAACGGACATCTCCTCCCTGCCGTCGTGTGTCCCAGGAGTGACACCTGGTCAAGAAGAAACGCTAGTCTTCATGCACATGCATGTCCCAAAGGGTTGAATTGGGGCTGGAAGGGCCCTTAGGTGTTGACTGGTTCAACCCTCCCATCCTGCAGATGAGGAGGCTGAGGCCAAAGAGGAGAAATGGAGATTGGAGAGCAGCTCCTTGCTGCGTGTGATGAACAGGCATGTGTGCGTGCATGTGTGTGTGTGTGTGTGTGTGTGTTTGGGGACAGTGCTGAAACCTAGAGTTGGAAGAAAAGCCTTCAGGGGTCCCAGCTCTTTCTAATACCCCGAGAAGGATATGGTTCACAAATCCAGAGATGCCTTAAATCGGACCACATCCCCACAAAATATAACAGTGTCACACAGTAGGAACCCATGGTTGAGCCATGGTGGGGGACTCATAGGGGGACCCTGCCAAACGCCCCCTCCCAGCCCAGCCACGATGCGGTAGGACCTGAAGCGTCCCCGTGGGCCTCCACCTTCCTTAAGCATCGCCCTCTGTCCTGCATGAACCACCTTAGAGTTCAAATATTCCCAGAAAGGATCATATCTGATTCAGTGACCAACCCCTGAATATGAAGGAGTGGAGTCAGTCATCAGAGATCTTGGGCCACATTAGCGGGAATAGAACATGTAGAATTAGGGAGGCGATAACCAGTTCTGCTTTAGTCAGTGTTAACTAGAGCACAGCTGGGGTGTGACGTTTAGTATGGGACACTACACCATATATATCCAGTGTCCGGAGGAGGGTAACCAGGATATGAGTGACTTGAAACTATGGCAAAAAGCAGCGAGCAATTGCAGGAACTGGAGATGTTGGGAGAAAATGCTACTTAGAGGAACCCGCTCGCCTTCCCAGCTTTTGGAAGAGCTGTTACAGCCACGAGGGAGAAGGAGGCTGTTCTCTCTTCTACCAGTAGATCCCATGGCAGTTGTATTTCAGCTGCACGTGGGGAAGAGGTTCTAACCCTTAGGGGCTTTCTGAAAGTGGAATGGGACCTGTGCGCACGCAGTGAGTCCCTTGTCACTAAGGTGCGCAGGCAGAGGTCAAGGCTTAGCGGAGGCATGGTGGACGTGATCGCAGCTCCTGCCGAGAGTCAGAGGTTACAGCTACATCACACCGGGCCCCCCCAGATTAGTCCCCAGCTTTGAGTCGAGGCCCAGGCCACCTTACTCACCTGCTTCCCCTACAACCAGCTCCAGCCTCTCAGGGTTGTGACCAGAGGGTCAGCCACTGGGTCCTGGGCTGACCCTTTCCCTCTTCATCCCCCTTTGTCCCAGGGTGAAAGCCAAGAAGGGCGTGACCCTTCTAGGCACCAAGTCACGGAGTGGCCAGTGGCATGTGACCTCGGAGCTGCTGACGGGGGCAAAGCACTCAACAGCCACCGTGGATGTGGCCTGGGCCCAGGGGACACCCCTGCCCCCATGGTGAGCTGGGGTGACACCTCTGCCCACCTTTTGTCAGGAGGGGCACCCGGAGGAGAGGGGTGCTTCTGGGAGGAGGCCAGGCCTGAGGGAGGGCTGGAGCTTAGTTTATGGGGAGCCTGAGTCCAGGGGACCACCTCGGGAGGTGGAGGAGACGCTGAGGGGCAGGCTGCGAGGAGGGCCGGGCTGCCCACAGGGGTCTCGGAGTTCCTGAGCGGCTGCCAGCCCCTCCTTTCTGGCTCTGCTTCCGTCCTCCCCTGCAGGGACGGCCAGGGGCCCCTGGAGATCCTGCAGCTGGACTTCGAGATGGAGAACTTCACCAGCCAGTCGGTCAAGCGGAGGATCATGTGGCACATAGACTACCGGGGCCGCGGCGCACTGCCTGAGCTGGAGCGGGCAGTCACCGAGCTGACCGTCATCCAGCGGGATGTGCAAGCCATCCTGCCCCTGGCCATGGTGAGCGGGGTGGGCGACCAGGCCGGCACGTGCACCTGGCACTCGTGGGTGCACGTGTGATGGGACTGTGCACGGCCGAGTGTGGGTGTAGACCAGTGCACCCGTGCGTGTGAGCCATTGCCCAAGTATGTCGGGTCTCCTGAACCTGGATGTGCCCCATAAAGGTGCGCGGGCTCACGGGGGGCAGGCTGTGCTCTGGGCCCGGTGCTGGAGGAGCACAGCAGACGCTGAGGGGGACAGAGGTGGGAGAAGTCACCCATGGAGGGGAATACTCAGGGGAGGTCTCCTGGAGGAGGGTCCTCATACAGTTGAGGGTCGCATGGGGGGAGGGCTCCTACAACCAGAGATGAGGAGGGTGCACCAGGCAGGGAGGGGGTCACACAGACCAAGTCGCGGCAATGGGAGTGTCAGCAGTTCATTTGAGGGGGCAATGGATTTAGGAAGAGTGCAGTGGGGTGGGAAGGCTAGGATGGACATCTGGTGCCCGCCCAGGAGCACCGTGCATGACCAGGGGAACGTGGGACCAGCCCAGGGCCTCTTCAAATGGCCAGGCAACTGTGTTGGACTCTCCTCTGTGGGTCCTGGGAAGCATGGATGACATTGGGAAAAGATGGGAGGAGACTGGGGAAGGGCTGTTTTCTGGAAGCAGGGCGAGGTCACCTACAAAGGCTACTGCAGAAGCCCAAGGTTGCTGAGCACCTGAGGTGCATGAGGCTGGGCGGATGCACCTCTCGGCACACGTGTGCAGGTCTCCCCAGGGAAGGGTGTGCATCTGAGGAGCAGGGGTGCTCGGGAGCGGGGGCCTTGGCTGGCAGGTCCTGGGGGAGCGGAGGTCTACAAGCACCCGGGCTACCTAGAGCCCCATCCTCCTCTGCTCCCCACAGGACACTGAGATCATCAACACCGCCATCCTCACTGGCCGGACAGTGGCCATCCCTGTCAAGGTCATTGCCATCGAAGTGACCGGCCTTGTCCTAGATGTCTCCGCCCTGGTGGAATGCGAGTCTGACAATGAGGACATCATCAAGGTGAACTTCCTGGAGGTGGGGCCCCCCCTGGGAGGAAGGCCTCAGACCTTTGAGGGGGAGCCCCAAGCCGGAGGGGAAGTCACACCCCATGTAGGTCCCCTTGGTAGGCAAGAAAACTGGAAATTGGGGGCTGGAGTAAGGAAGAGCTGGGGGCACCCCTCATTCAGCCTGAGTGGGGTGAGGCAAAGCCCTGGGCACAGCCCTGCCAATCCTGGAGGGCTGCCTGTAGGAATGTGGAGGAGACTGGCAGACCACTGGGAGAAGGCAGCACTGGCAACTTGAACTCAGTCCAATCTGGCAAGTCATCATGGAGCCCCTGCCGGGCGGCAGACCCTGGGCAAGGCAACGTGGGGCACAGGGTGGGCCCCTCAGGAGCAAGCCCTGAACCTCACTGCTGGTTCCAAGTGGAGGAGCTCCAGCACAGAAAGGAAGCTTCCAGAAGCATGTAAGTTAGGCCAGAAGTGAAGGTCGTATAAGGAAGGACCTTCTCTGGGCCCCAGGTTCTCCACCACCCAGAAAACAGGGCACTGATCTGACTCAAATGGCCCAGGTGCCATCTCCCCAGGAAGGCCTCCAGATTTGCCCCTTTCCCTGGCTTTAGACAGTGGTCAGAGGCAGAAGAGCAGGCAGTAATGCAGGAGGGTATTCAACCCAGGTACCTCAACCCAGGGGTGGGCGAGCTGTTTGCCATGCCAGCCTCCAGCAGGTGCCCAAATCAAACGATTAGACACCAGAATCTGTTCCCTGCTCCTGTCAATCCTTCAGCTTCAAGGAGAGCGGGAGGAGAGAGATGTGGGTGTCCTCACTCCAGCTCACTGGGGCTGACCCACAGTGCACGCTGCCTGGGTGCCCTGAGCTCTGGGGAGCCCAAAGCTCACCCTGGCTGTCCGCCCATCCAGGAAGAAGGCCCTCCGAGTGAGCCAGAGCAGACGGCTCAGCCCACACCCTCGTTACCTCCTGGGAGTAGAAGCCTTGCCCTGGCCCACGGGGCCGGCCACCGCTGGCAGGCTGGTGCGGGGAGAAATGGGCCCGCTCCCAGGAGCCCAGCATCCTCCTCTGCTGCCCAGACACCCCCACGCCGGCCCCAGAGGGACCAGAACAAAGTCCTGATGGCTTAGATACCAAAGGGAATTAGCAAAGGTTCTAAATGGAATTTATTTCTGCTCTCAATGAAATACACCCCAGTTCTTTATGGAGTTTGCCAAAATTCTAAACAGAATCTGCCAGGCTTCAGATGAAACGCTCTGCCTTCCAAAGAGGGGAATGAGCGTCCTGCCAGGGCCGCTGTTCCGCTCCCACCCACCCCCTGAGATGGTTACGAGAGCCGGCAGGAGCCGGGGACAGTTCAGGGGCCCATCTCCCCATAGGAGCCCCCGCCCCAGCACCCTCCTCCCCCAACCCCCACCAGAGCCCTCAGGGTGTCATCAGCCCACAGGCTGCCTCCAAACTTGAGGACGTGCACCCACAGGCGTGCGCCGGTGGGCGCACCTAAACGCATTGTACACAGCATTCATTCCAGGTGTGTGCGTGGGCACATTTCACACGTACACCCATCTGCATCTGCCCTGAAGGGCTGGCAGTGACACCTGTGTGAGTGGGCGCAGGCATCCCCCCAGATGTGTTCAGTGAGCATGTGCCCATCCAGGCAACCTCTGGGATGCAACTCAGTGCCCAGGCGGGCACAGATTTGCAAAAGCTGTAGCCATTGGTGGCGATAATCCACCTGTCTGCACTTGGGGTTCTCTGGTCCCGATTTTCCCCGCTCCTTCCCTCCCTGGCTAGAGCAGCCCCATTGCCAGAAATTAACCGGTGCCCATTTTCCTGGGGCTGGGGGCCGGAGGGGCTGGGAGGAGCCCTGGGCCTGCCCATCACCCCCACCTACCTGACCTCCTCCGCGCTAGCTGAGCACCGGTGTCCTACTCAGGGCAGGCTGCCCTTCAGTTCAGCGGAGGACTCCACCTGCCAGACACCTGTGCCAGAGCCCAGGTGGCCATGAGGGGCGGGGGAGCCCGTCCTGAGGACCCTCAGCCTGAGGGCTCTGCCGAAGGGTGGTCGGGCACATGGGAAGCAGCCCCTTGTAAAAACATCTGCATGCTGGCTCCTTGCCAGGGAGCACACACCTCCCACGGTAGCCCCTAGCAAGTCATCTCCGGAAAAACCGAAGGGACACAGGGCCACCAGAAGCTCACACCTCCCAGGGGATTCACATTAGGCACAGCCTCCCGCCGTGCCCCTCCCCTTCAGTGACTGGCACGTTCTCTGCCCGACGGCCCCCCAGCCCTACTTGTCAGACTGCAGTCCCTTGCACTGTCCCACAGGGTGACCTGTAGGACAAGACATGCCAACACCCTCTGCCCTCCCCAGGTATCCAGCAGCTGTGACTACGTGTTTGTGAGCGGAAAGGAGTCTCGCGGGTCCATGAATGCCAGGGTCACCTTCCGCTATGACATCCTCAGTGCCCCCCTGGAAATGACGGTCTGGGTCCCCAAGCTGCCTCTGCACATCGAGCTCTCGGACGCCCGCCTCAGCCAAGTGAAGGGCTGGAGGGTACCTATCCTCCCTGACCGGAGGTACAGCCCCTCCACACACGGCAGACTGCACGTGGGACACAGGCGGGTCACGGCCCGGCACGCAGTCTGGTCCGCATGTGTGTATAAGTGCCTAGAGGTACACGGTCTGAGGTTGGTTGTGCAATCAACAAACTGTTATTGGGTGGCTACTGTATGCCAGGCACTGACGGGTATGTGAGATGTGGGACGAGTGCGGCCAGTGCCTTACTCCCCCCAGCTCTGGGTCCCTCAGGGAAGCCACCATGTGTGTGCCACAGAGCAGCCACAGAGCATGGTGGATGCAGGACGCAGGGAACCGAGTGGCCCGAAGGAGAGAACCGCCTCTTCCTCTGGGAAGTCACAGCAGACTTCCTGGAAGAGGTGACTCTTGAGCTAAGTGTTCAAGGATAAATAGAATGGAGTTGTCTGAAGAACAGACATGCCCCAGTGCGGGTGCACCAAGGCACGCTGGTGGGCACATCAGCCAGGCACACAGTGACGCTCACGAAGCCTCCTCTGCGGGGCGGGCTCACACACCTGAGTGACCAGCTTTGGGGGCAGGTACATCTGAACTTAGCGCACCCCACTCGCCCACTCATTGTTCCTAGTGACAAAAAGCCCCGGGGTAGAGAAAGAGGGGCGGAGCTAGGGAGAGCCGCAGGCGGCCAAGTGCAAGCTGGACTGGGTTCCATTCTGCTGGGACTCTGGAGCCTCCCGAACTTCACTGTGCACACGACTCCCCTGTGGATCCTGTCAACATGCACATTGTGCGTTTTGAACCAGCTCCTGGGTGACGTCCTGGGTGAGGACGGAGTGGATTCTGAAGCCAGACAGCCTGGGTTGGAACACTCACCTCTGCTCTTCGCTAGCTGGGCCACGGTGGCCACGTACATAGCCTGTCTGTGCCTCAGTTACCTCATCTGTAAAATCGCCACATTGATACCTCATGGGGTTGTTGTGAGGGTTACATTAGTTAACACAGGAAAAAGAACCCTCTGTGAGTGAATGAATCTTCTGGTGGCTGATTCTTCTGAGCACCAGCAAAGCGGCAGCCACCCCCCTCCACTCCTGGCGCCTCCAGGTTGCAGCATTTTGGGCGATCTGGATTGGCCGAGAAGTCTGCCAGTCATCAGGTCCTCGTTCCCTTTTGCTCACCAGTTTTTCCCCCATTTTTTTCCCCTCCTTTTTGCATTTAACTATAAGCAACAAGGGAAACCCAGGCTGCCCCTTCGACACTTTGCTTGGCATTCTCAGCTAAATATCCAGGCTGGTCACGTACAAGTAGCTTGCCACACAGCGTGGGCTCTGCCCAGCCCAGCTCACTGGCGCTGTCTCAGGCGTGGCTGTCACTCCAGCTTAGAGCTGAGAGCAGGGCCAGGCGCGTGCTTCGTGCTGAAAAGCGGCAGCACTTGTCAGGGTTCAACACCAGCTTTTCTCAGGATCGGGTGAAGCCAAGCAGAGGCGGAGAGGGACCAGGGAGGGTCGAGGAGGTGCCTTTCTAGGGGGGAACGTCTGGGACTCCCGGCTCCACGCTTGTCAGGAATAGGAGTGAGCCCGGGAAAAGGTTTGCCATGCCCACGGCCTCCACTCACGGGGGCTGGAGAAGAGCCAGCAGGGCCAAGGTGAGGGAGGGGCTCAACAAGGTCCTTGCCAGGGTGAGGCGCCCTGACCCCATGCCCCCACCCCAGGTCAGCCCGGGAGAGCGAGGATGAGGACGAGGAGGAGGAGGAGCGGCGGCAGAGCGCCAGCCGTGGCTGCGCCCTGCAGTACCAGCACGCCACGTTGCAGGTCTTCACCCAGTTCCACACGACGTCATCTGAGGGCACCGACCAGGTGGTCACCATGCTGGGCCCAGACTGGCTGGTGGAGGTCACTGACCTGGTCAGCGACTTCATGCGGGTGGGTGACCCCCGAGTGGCACGCATGGTGGACAGCAGCACACTGGCTGGCCTGGAGCCGGGCACCACCCTCTTCAAGGTAGGCACGAGGGCAGCACCAGGAGCCATGGTTACCAGTGGGTAGAGGACATGGACGTCCTCGGGACGGGATTTCCAGGGCCTCCGCCCCTGGGAGCGGCCCCAGCTGGCCCTCCAAACATGCTGTCTTCTCCACCTGCCTCTCTGCCTGAAGTTCCACCACCAGAGGTCAAGGTCCTTTAGCTTCACCTGGGAGAAAGGTCTCCCTCCAAACCTCATCAGTGCTGTCTGCCTTGCATAACTGCATGGGCGCTGAGAGCAGGTGCGGGTGAGGAGGGAGACTAGGAGGAAGGGCTCAGGCAGCCGAGAGGCCAGAGAGGGAGTTCAGGATCTAGGAGTTCACCCCCTGACCTTCCCCCTTGGCAACTGCTGCCTGAATGGAAATCCCCCACCTAGGAGATGGTAAACAGTGACCCATGGGCTGGAATCTGCTTGCAGAACACTTGTGTATAAAAACAACTGATCCTCCGTTTTAAAATTGGCAAGTTCCTCAGTTTTTGGAAAACTGGATTTCTAATTTTACAAAATACAGCTCTGGCAACACTGGGCCTGCCTGGCAATAAATTGCTCAAGTCAGTACTGGTACTGCCTTTACATGAGCATCAGTTCCCCCATTTGCCACAGTCCCCACCACTCCCTTTTGCCTGCCTGACGTTGAGGTTGGAATATCAATGGCCATTTATCACTGTGCAGGCCTGTCGGTTTCCTTAAAATCCACCCAGCTTTCTCATCGGTGCTTCCACGAGCCCCTGACCCCTGCTTGGCCCCTGGGCCTCGGTTCCCGGGTGCAGACCTCAGGCAGAGCCCCCCAGCCTGCCCTGCCCCCTGGGCCTCTTCTCCAGCAGCACTGGGACCCCTCCCTGACTGCCGATCCTGGGGCTGCTGCTCTCCTGGCCTTCACCCAGCCCTGCCCCTCTCTGCCTCAGGTGGTGTCCCCACTGACGGAGTCTGTGCTCGGGGAGACACTGCTGACGGTGACAGAGGAGAAGGTCAGCGTCACACAGCTGCAGGCCCAGGTGGTGGCCAGCCTTGCCCTCTCCCTGCGGCCCAGCCCCGGGAGCAGCCACACCATCCTGGCCACCACAGCAGCCCAGCAGACCCTCAGCTTCCTCAAGCAGGTAACCAGATGCCCAGCCTGCCAGCCTGGGGGCTTGGAGTGTGGAAGGGACTCGTGGGCTCTGACTCGCCTCTGCGCCATGAGTCCCCGCATTAGGGCTCTGGGAGGTAAAAGATCTACTTACCCTCCATGGCCCGCCACCTGCATGGGGAGTCTGGCCACTGTCTCCCTTCCTGCGCCTGCCAATCCGGGGAGGTGTCCCCTCCTGGATTCTCCCAGGGTCCATCCCCTCTGCCTCCACCCCCAGGAATTACCCTCACCCACTTCCGGAGGCCCAGCTACAGCCTCCTCCCCACAGACATGCCAGGGCACTGGCCATAGGCAGAGGTGGCAAGGTAACAGGTGGGAATGCAGGGAGTGAGAGGTGGGTGTTGAGCACCACGCTGGGAGTCCTGAGCCAGGAGTCCTCTGCCCCCAACTCGCCCCAGGGCCCCAGCCCAACCCCTTCTCTCTAAGCCCTGCTTCCTCATCTGTGCGGGGTGCAATTTAACAAGCAGAGGAGAAGATTGGGGTTGGGCATGTATGCTTAGTCTCCAGGTGTCTGATGGGGATGATCCCAAAGTCAGGGATGGAGATGTGGAGTTACTTCTGCAGCAAAAGGGACTTGAGTTAGACCCAAGGCAGAACTTACCCTTAGCTCAGCAAGAGGAGAAGGGTGAAGAAGGCAAAGAAAGTCTGCAGGTGGTAGGAGGCCATGGCATACCTGTACCCTCCTCACCACCTCCAGAGCAGGAGTCCCGCTCGGTCACCCCTGGGTACCTGCCACCTGCCAGCTCCGGCACTGGGAATGCTGCAGGGAGCCAGACCTTGGTCCCTGCCCTCACGGAGCTCAGTATCCCACAGGAGAGCCAGCCAGGCCCAGTTCTCTGACTCCTGCCCCTTCTCCTCTCCCTCCAGGAAGCCCTCCTGAGCCTCTGGCTCTCCTACAGTGACGGCACCACTGCTCCACTCTCCCTCTACAGCCCCCGGGACTATGGGCTGCTAGTGAGCAGTCTGGACGAGCGGGTGGCTACAGTGACCCAGGACCGGACCTTCCCGCTGGTGGTGGCTGAGGCCGAGGGGGCAGGGGAGCTGCTCCGAGCAGAGCTCACCATCGCTGAGAGCTGCCAGAAAACCAAGCGCAAGAGCGTTCTGGCTACGACCCCCGTGGGCCTGCGGGTGCACTTTGGGCGGGAGGAGGAGGACCCCACCTACGACTACCCCGGCCCCAGCCAGCCGGGACCCGGTGGGGGCGAGGACGAGGCCCGGGGAGCAGGCCCGCCAGGCACGAGGGTGTCCCCGGCGGAGGCCCCAGGGCTGGTCACCGCCAGCCCAGCAGCCCCGCCCACAGAAGATTTCCTGCCACTGCCCACGGTCTTCCAGCAGATGCCGCGGGGGCTGACGGACCTGGAGATCGGCATGTACGCACTGCTGGGCGTCTTCTGCCTCGCCATCCTCGTCTTCCTCATCAACTGCATCGTCTTCGTGCTGCGCTACCGGCACAAGCGCATCCCACCCGAAGGCCAGACCAGCATGGACCACTCTCACCACTGGGTGTTCCTGGGCAACGGGCAGCCACTGCGGGTGCAGGGGGAGCTGTCGCCGCCCACGGGCAACCCGCTGGAGACCGTGCCCGCCTGCTGCCACGGTGACCACCACAGCAGTGGCAGCTCACAGACCAGCGTCCAGAGCCAGGTACACGGGCGAGGCGATGGCTCTTCCGGCGGCTCCTCCCGGGACCAGGCCGAGGACCCCGCCAGCTCACCCACCTCCAAGCGCAAGCGGGTCAAGTTCACCACCTTCACCACGCTGCCCACGGAGGAGCTGGCCTATGACTCGGTGCCCGCTGGCGAAGAGGACGAGGATGAAGAGGACCTGGGGTGGAGCTGCCCGGATGTGGCGGGCACCCCGCGGCCCGCTGTGCCCCCAAACCTGCACAATTACATGCGCAGAAACAAAGAGACTGCATAGAGGCCCCACGGCCCCACGTGGGGTGGGAGCTGTGTGGGCCACAGCCGGGACCCCTGCTCACCCTGTGGCGGGCGGCTGATGTCGATTCTGCGGGCCCTGCCCCCGCAGCTTTGGGCTTCGCAGGGCTGCCACCTCCCTCCTCTGGTCCCTCCCACTGCCTCCTGCTGACACCCTCCTCTGCCACCGCAGGAGGAGGGTGCCTTCCCCAGGAGCTGGCCAGGAGGAAGCCGTCCCGGCCCTCCTTCTACACTTTCCAAACCTTCTCGCATAATGGACAAACCTGCCCCAAGAGTGAGGCTCAGAGGCCAAGCCAGGGGCCAGGTGGGCCCACCCCATGCGCCGCCGCGGCCTCCCATGCCCCCCATGTTCCCTCTGTGCTGGGGGTCCCGTGGGGTCTTGTGTCACAAACTGCACAAAGACTTTTCTCAAATCACTATTCAGGGATTTCTGTCCTGCAGGGTGGGGAGGCAATGGCTGCCTGCCCTGCCACGGATCTTGCTGTGAACAAAACGTGTGCACGGTGGGGGAACACTTGTAGCATCTTCTGCCTTTCTGGCACCCCCAAGCCCCTCCCTAGGACCTGGGAGCTGACTGCAGAGGGACCTGTGGCCACGCCAGGCACCTTTCTAAGAGCCCAGGGCTCCCTCCTCTGGCCCCAAGGGCTATAGAAGGGGCCTGAGGTGGGAGGAGTCTGTGGGCCACCCCTCACCCAGCCACCGCCCAAAGCACCACGGTCTGGGTGGGCCCAGTGAGGCCTGCATGCCTCCCGTCCACCCCACAGCAAGGCCAACACCGCGCCTTAGCCACTCCAGCTCTGCTGGCCACTCTTTCCTTCTCTGCAGGGGTGGTCCCCGGCCCCCCATGTGGTGGGATCTGGTAGGAAGGGGAGAGAGGGCACCAGGGCATGCTGTGAAGGCCCTCGGGGTGGGCAAGGCAAGGGGGGCTGGGCGTCTCCCTACCCCGCCCCACAGCCACTGTTCTCTCGGGTTCCGCCCACCACTGTGTCCAGTTTTTCTTAAATAAATGCAGGCGACCAGATTGGAGGCGGGGGGCAGCAGCTCCCGGAGAACAGACGGTACATGGTGGCTGGTTCTGTGTCTCTTCTTTATATGCACACGTGCACATTCACCGCCACACACACATGTACACACGTGCATACTGCAGGCACATGAAATGACATGGAGCCCACACAACAGAGCCCAGCTGCGGCCCTGCTCTTCCTCCTCTGACACCCAGGTGCCTAGGACCCCCAGGGCCACAGGGTGCCCGAGTCAGAGGATGAAGGGTTTGCTGACCCCGACACGTGCCCTTGCAAACCAGTGCCTCTTCTAGGAGCCTGCTGCAGTTGGCTCAGATGGAGGGGCAGCCTCGGGGCCTCCAGGTAAATGCCTTGGGTGAGAGGAGACAGAAAAATAAGAGTTAAGTGAGAAAGGACAGGGCTTAGGCCTGCGCTCACTTACTGCCTTCAGCCCCGCTCTCAGAGACCTCCTTTCTCCACAGATTGAGGCGAAAAACCCGCTGGTCTGCAATGCAGGGGCCAGGCAGGAGAGAGCAAAGGTGGTTGGGTGTATCCCTCCACCACAACAGGCCCTGGACTAGCCGTGGGAGGCCACACCCGGGCATAAGCCACAGCCCCCGGGGGGCACAGGAGCACCTTACCTGACCGTGGAGACTGGCCAAGGCTGCCCAGCAGCCCCCATGCCCGGGACAGGTGGCTAGAGCAGCCACCTTGCAGTGGGGAGAGGAGAAGGCACAGCCAATGGCGTCTGTGCAGAGTGGACCAGAGGCAGGACAGGCTGCCCTGGCACCTGCCCCGACCTACCACTGCCACTGTGGGAGGGCACCTGGCTCCCCCATCATCTGCTCATTGCCAGGGGCAGCCCTGGGGGCATGGTGAGCATTCAGTGCTGCCAGGCCTATAAAGCTGTCTGCATGGTGCCCAGGGGCAGCAGACAGACGGAGCCCCCGGTACAGGCAACACGTGGAGTTTGCTGCATCCGGGTTTAGTCTCCGCCTAAGGTGTGGCGCTGAGAGGAAGACTAGAGATTGGCCAGCTCCGCCCAGAGTGTGCGCCCAACGAAGTGTGCGAAGATGAGGGTCTCTCTGCGAGGGAGGGAGCTACAGGGAGCCACGCCCAGGGCGGAGCCTCGGGGGCAGAACTGCCGTCCTCCATTCCCAGATCGCCCCAATACCTGCTATGCAAACGAGCCCGACAGCGACCTCCTAAAGGGGTTCTCAGTGCTCTTTCTTACCCGCAGTGCCTACGGTCCACAAGTGTTCAACACATACTGGCCGACTGAAGGCCAAATGAAAACTGCAGATGCCGTTCTCATTATTCCACATTTGAGGATTTTCTCTTCCCTTCCATGGCACCACGTGATCATGCGGAAAAGCACAAGGTCCAGCGAGAGGGGAGGGGGACACAGGTGTGAGTCAGGAAGAGTGAATATTCTAGCTCAGGTGTGTGCACGTGGGGGGAGGGGGGGCTGGTGTTAGAAGTGGCACATGGTTCTGTTCATTCAGCATGGAAAGCTCCTACTGTGTGCTAGGCCCTGCAGGGGGGGCGGGGAGTATGGAGGTGAAACTGTGGGCCTGTCCGCCAGGAGCCCCAGCTCCGCAGGGGAGTCCGGCGGTCCCGGGGGGATGGGTGCTCTGTGTGTGGGCTTCGCCCTGGCTTGAGGGGGCACGAAGGAAAGGGGGAGACGTTTTCCAAACTGAACTTGCTGAGGACGGGGCCAGAGACCCTCCAGGAAGGGTGGGCGGGGGCCACGGAGGCCCAGAGCCACAGACCTGTGCTACCTCTCCAAACCTGTCTCTGCGAGTGCTTGCCCCACGCCTGGAACACGAGTCCCTGCAGACAGGGAAACGCACGCAATCTGGGCCCTGGTACGGAGGCCAGAGGGGCGGCAGGAGGTCAGCATGGATTTGGGCGTCAGGCTCAGACTCGGGGTTCAGATCCTGTCCCTCTCACTGGGGAAGGCGGGAAGGCCGGGAGTAAAATTTTCCATGAGGAAAATGCCACAGGGCCAGGGCAGTGGGGACCGAGAGCTGGGCGCCTGCCGGAGTTTCAGCTGTGGGCTTTGCCAACCGCTTTGTCCCCCGTAGGGTGGAAGGGGAGGAGACGTGAGCTGCTGCTTGACAGAGCCCTCTGCCCAGTGAACCCCGGAGACCAGCCACTCCAGGGGGGACGGTGGGTGCTCTCAAAAGGGTACCTGCCAGCATTCACACTCACAAACAGGGAAGTGGGGGCCCGGAGAGGGGTGCAGGTGGCCAGAAGTGACACAGCCAACCTCGGGGCAGAGCCAGAGCCCTGCCCGCTGCCCCGTCCGGTAATTTGTGTCCCCTCCTCTTCATCGCTCACTCCCTGTCCGAATGCGGGAACTCAGAGGCAATTGCGGGAAACAGCAAGTCCTGACCCTCGTGCAGTTCAAAGAGGGAGCAAGCGTGGAGGAACGAGGCGGGACATTAAGTTAACAGCCCCTCTGGAATGGCCCTGGCACTGAACTCCTCTTTAAAAATTTGTCTTCAACCCTGAAAATGAATCGAGGGACCTTATAAAGAATAGTTATTGACAGAGAGCTGTTCTGGGAGCACCGGGGAACCAGGCCCATGAATCAGCTTGCCAGCAAAATGAGGTTTCTCAGACAGCCAGGGCCGGCGCAGGCAGAGCGGGGGGATTGCAGGGAAGCGGCCTTGAGCCTGTCCCCAGCCCTGTGCTCAGCTCTGTGCCCCAGCCCCACAGCACCGGCCTCTGCAACAGCCCTACACACACCTCCACGCCCATCTTCAGCAAATATGGACCGACCCCTCCCACGCATCAGGCCCTGTGCCTGCCCCCCCCCCCAGAGGAGACTTCCAGCGTGGGGAGCCAAAGGGAGAAAATTGAAAACACAATCAATGAATGAGCCAGAGAAGGAAACTCACTAGAAGGGGTGAGATTTCCTAGGACAGGTGGGCAGGTTCAGCCAGTGGGGCACCCACGCTGGACTTGTCTCCCCTGTTGTGTGAACGTGAAAATCGCTGGGTAGCATCCGCTGACTCCCCAAAGGGGCCCCGCTGCTTCAGCACCTGCACTGCCAACAGCGTCTACAGCAAGAGGGATCACCCATCCCATTTTACAAAGGAGACGAGAAGAACCCGGAAAGGACAAGTGACTTGCCCGCTCGGGTCTCCGGGCCAGAAGTGACCTGAAAGCAGCTACAAACTACCCGCTTTCTGCTGCACCTCAAAGCCACATTGGCCATGAAAACGGAGTGAGGTTGGAGAGATTTGGAGATGGGAGGGGTCTCTAAAGATCTGATGTGATCCGTGATGGAGGCAGGCGGGGCCCCCACGGAAGGCTTAGCTAGATCACCGTCAGGGTTTGGGGTCCCCTGGGACAGGATGAGCTCTATGGCCTCTCTGCCGTTGTTGGAGGGGCCGTACCCCTTCCTCGTCTGGGAACTCCCTCCCCATCGGTCACAAAAGCCAGTCACCCAAGCTTCCCTCAGTCACCCCTTCAGGCAGAGCCCCAGCAGGGCACAGCCCTGGGCTCCTGAGGAGAGCTGGAGGTGGGAGTGAGCCACGTCGGTGGGAGTGAGCCAGCGCCTGTCCTCTCCCTTAGGGTCCTGGCTGCCCCTTTGGTCCCTGGGCCAGCGGAGCCCACCCGTTCCCCTCTCTCTCACACACACACACACACAGCACACGTCCTAAGTGCACGCTCTGTGAGCACCCTACTCATTCACACTCACAGGCATCTGCCAACGGGCACCTGTCCCTCCTACACACGTGCACACAAGCATGCACCTCCAACGCACACACACACACACACACTCCCTGCACACACAGGCACACACACACGCACCAGCAATTGAGCCCTACGGCTCCAGCGCAGCAATAACCGGGGGAGCTGATGCTCAACTCCCGTGTGGGGCGGAGTCCTCAGAGCCCTCCGCCCCACCTGGAGGGAAGGCGGAGTCACGGGGCGGGGTGGTGGGCAGGGGCAGGCCCACAGTCCGGGGTGCAGGACGGGGATGGGGGGCCTAACGGAGAGGGGCCAGAGCAAAGCCGGGTGGCACTGTGGCTCCGGTGTGCCTGTGGATGGGTCTCGGCAGAGGGCCCCGCTGCCCGTCTAAGTGAGTCGCCTTTTGAGAGGGGGGCTGGATGGGAGCTTGTGGGAGAGAGAGGCCGTCAGGAGCACAGTTACTTCCTGCTTGCAACAGTGAATACACGGGCCCCGGCACGCTGCGGAATGCCTGCCCCTTTACATGCCAGCCGTCAGCGAGGCGATCGCAAAGGCTCTTCTCCCATCATTGAAGCCGATGGAGGGCCCTCTATTTGGAAACAGGTTTTGGTTAAAAGGACTGTGTTATCAACTCTAGTGAAATGATTTATTTTGGGCTCTCGCTTGGTAAGGTAGAACCCGGGGCCAGAAGCCCTCATTCCAGGGGTGGGTGTGCCCTGGTCCTCTGGCTGACGTCCTTCACGTGGGTGCCAAGAAGACTCCTGGGAGGAAAGGGACAGAGGTCCTGGAGAGAGTGTGCAAACGTCTCCCGTGCATGGAGCGTCCATCCGGGGCTGGTTGGAAGGAAAGGGCGCCCAGGAACCTGGGCTCAGTCTGGCCTCGGCGTGGAAGGTGGTAGAAGTGACTTCCCCCTGAACTCAGTCCCCTGCCCGTGAATCGGGGACCAAACAGCACCTACCCCCCCAGGATGCCGGTGAGGATTCAGTGGGTCCTTGCTTGTGAGGAACTGAAACTCGCCCCAGTAAGTGCTAGCTATTATTTTATTGTTTTCCAATGAGTGATGAATTTTCTAAAGCAACAGGACCCAGAGATCCTGGTCTGACTCTCCACTGGGTTCTCCAATTGTTGGGGTGTTTTCTCCAGCTTGGTGTTTAGATGCAGGACCTTCCTCTTAGATGGAGTCTTCTTCTCCCCGAGGCACTTCAGACATTTGGAGGAGAGGTCCAGAGTCCCCAAACGAAAGACTATCGATGTCTTCCTACTGTGCGTCAGGAGAGGTTCAGCAGTTCATTGGACAACCCCG